ATTTATTGGTTCTTTTGGCAGTCCATGGCACTTTCAGTACTCTCCTCCAACACCACAACTCAAAGGCATCAATTCTTCTACGATCCTATGTCACAGTTAAAACCTGGCTGAGCTATGGTTTGTATTCAGTCTTTAGTTAATACAGAAAGTATGATTTGAAGCTATTTTACTCCACAGACAATGCTATTGATACTGTACCAAGCTAAAGCAATATTTCTACTATTTTGATTTTTAAGTAACATATTTACAAGTGCTACTAATTTGGTACCTGAGAAAAATCTTCAGCTGCTACTGGCAAATTAGCATTTTCTTGTGCTGTTGCAAGTGTTGTGGGAGGAACAAAGTTAGAACGTGGCTGCAACTCCAATTCTCCCAAGCTCATTGGACCGTGACTGACACATAAATCTTCATAAACACTTCCTGTTAGCAAATATGTAAATAAAAGGGAAAATAAATTGTTTATCTTAGGAAAAAGAGCAATTGACGATTAGAACTATCAGTATTTCTCACCTGCCAAATTAGAAGGTGCAGCATACTTCAACAAAGAACACCTGACACCAACCCTTAACTGCAATTAAAACCAAAGCACATACAGAATGCAAGAAGTACCTGTGTTCAAATAAATCTAAATACAACAGTTCTTATCAAAGCATTTCTCAGGTTGGTCAGTCCACTTCAATCCAGCACTCCCACATACCAAATTCTAATATTTCTGCTCACCTTTTCTATAGCTGTCCCCTGCTATCTGAAAGTAGAGTGACCCTAGGAAACCTTTGCAAGCCAAAAATGGCATACAATGAAGAAGCCATTACTATGAATGAACATGGGAACATTTTTTGAGTGTTCCCAGACCCCCAAAACAACCTACCCAGGGGGTTCTAGGTCCATGGATTAAATACGGCTGTGCGCCTATGGGCAGGAAGCTGGCTTCTAGAATGTGCCCTTTGGATGTATAAATGTACATATTTGTTTTGTATGTGTGCAACAAATAGTTTTGCTTTGTTCATTTGTGAAATATCAGATGTAAATGGGAAACCACTGGGAGGAAGCAGGATAACTGTTGTTGCAGGGAGGGGATTGTAATCATTGAAATGAAACAGAATGTATGACTTGGTGAATGTGAAGCTGATGATCTCTGTCTATAAACCTTCACTCAATTCCCAAGAGAAAGTAAAGTATGAAATAAAATAGCCTACCAAACCATGACAACACATAAACCCTCAAACAGCACTGGCATACAAATGTTCACACACAAAACTCAAAGCTATGGCAGCCTGATGCTAAGAGCTGACTGTAGTTCTGGAGAAAGAGACTGGTGACCCTGCTCTTGCAGCTACCGCACTGCCTTTTTCATGATACGCTGCAAAACAAACACTAAATGCTAGCTTCACCTGTTGCCTTTTTTTTTAAGAGTAAAAACCCTCTTTTGATTTCTTTTTGCTAGCAGTTAGTAAAAACAGGTATGAATGTGGGCGTAAAGTGAACTTTTGAAATGCAGAAGATACCTGTATTTCTATCTAAATGCATTCTTTAAAGCAAAGGACACTTTCCTAGCTAGAAAATGTTGGTATTGATTAGTTCTGCTCTACAGACATTTTCTTCCAATGATTAATTTCCTTTTTCCTCATCCAAACATATCTCAAAGAGATTCAGCATACATAAACAAATGATAATATAGATCATGTTGTTAAGTGCCAGGGAATTGGTGGTTCTGACTCATAGCAATGGGTTCTGAGGAACGTGTGGTGGGTTTGAACTGCTGACCTTGTTTATCCAACAGCACTACACCAGAACTCCTGTATAGAGGTGTTGCTGTTATTAAGTACTGTTGAGTCAGTTTCGACTCAGCAGTCCTTTATAGGGTTTCTGAGGAGTGGCCAGTGGGTTTGAATCACCAACTTTATTGTTAGCAGTTCAGTGCTTATCCTACAGCGCCACACCAGGGTTACCTTAAAAAACAAACAAACAGAGGAATCACTCTTTCAAAGTTAAAGGAAAAACTTAGAACCTGACAGATGAGAGAAGATCTAAATAGGAATTCACAAAAGAGAAAATCCAAATGGCTAACATATGACAAGCTATACAAGCTCTTCAATATAAGCATATAGCTTTATACATGAAAAGAATCCCTATGGCTTTATAATTTAACTAACAAAAGGAAAAAGAGTTACAACCACTATTTCAGGAGGGTATGAAGGAAAAGGGCTCTAGTTGTTGATAAAAATGTGAAGTAGTTTATACTTTTAAAACACTTGGAATATTTTTTTTAAACTTAAAATATATTTGTCCTTTATTTCAGGTAACTTCTCCTGGGAATCTATTCCATAAATATGAAATGCAACTAATACGGTGGGATATATCCATGTGGATATTTACTCTAGCATTGTTTAGCGTGTAAGAAAATGGTAATAAAGTAAATATTCATCAATGGAGAAATAACCAAACAAATTATTGGAAATCTACCACATATGGCTTTATGCAATCATCAAAAAAGGCTGAATTTAAGTAATACCAGTTGACCTACAGTAATTGCCACAAAGTTTACTGGCAAAAACTATGTATGTGTGATTATACATGTAAGGCAATGAAGAATAGATTACATAAAATCATAATATAGGTTATCTGGATAGGCATAACACGAGACAGGAGAAAGTGTGGGGCCGGAGACAATGCGAGGCGATACTGAGAAGAAACTGCAATTTAAAATCATCCATGATTTTAAATTTATATAAGCAGATTTAAATAAGAATTGTTGCTATTGTTGTTAAGTGCCGTCGAGTCGGTTCTGACCCATGGTGACCCTGAACAGGGTTTCCGAGGCTGTAAATCTTT